CAACCTCACCTGAAGTGGTACAAGCCACTCCCCTCACTGACTGAAGGGAGGATCCTGGTCCGCCAGGGTCCACCCAAGCGCAGAAGTGTGGACCCCCTGCGCCCGCTAAAACCCAGCTGCCGTGAGGTCGGGGAATTCCCCCTCGTACCTCCGAAGGCGCCCGGAAACTCGGTGAGCCGTCGGTGTCGCAGGTTCGTAAGGATCAGCCTACGGCAACCCCCGGTGAACCAATGGATGAGAGTGGGTCGAAGTCCGACGAGGACAGACTCCACTCAAGTTCAGAGTCGCTACTTTCGGCCTCCGGTGGTACCACTGGCAGGCCGAAAGATACGGCTAAAAAGAAAAATTCTCCCCGCGTCAAAATAGATTTTAAGGTCTAGTGAAACATATACTTTTAAGATATATATATATATATATTTTTTCTTGTTTGTGAGATGGCAGAAACAGTTCTCCAGTGGAACTGCAAAGGCTTACTCCGGAACTATGACGACGTTTACTCTCTACTAGATCTTCATCACCCACTAGCGTTTTGCCTTCAGGAAACTCATTTGAACAATAATCATACTAACATCCTAACGCGCTTCCAGGTTTTTCGTAGGGACCGTCTTCATTCATCCCACACCTCTGGCGGTGTAGCTATAGTTGTTGCAAGGTCTACCCCTTGTGTCAAGGTACCACTTAATACCACATTAGAGGCTGTGGCAGTTCGCATCTTATCTGATCGACTGATAACTGTTTGTTCTGTGTATATTCCTCCAAGCTACACCTTATCTCGCAGAGAGCTAGAATCTCTTTATGACGAACTCCCCCAACCAGCTCTAATCCTAGGAGATTTCGATGCTCATAACCCTATGTGGGGCAGTGGACGACGTGACACACGTGGCTCGATGATTGAGTGTTTTCTTTCTTCTACTGCTTTATGCCTGTTAAACAAACTAGAGCCTACATATTTCAGTGCTCCAACTCGTTCGTTCACATCCATTGATCTGTCATTAAGTGACCCAACATTATTCCCCCTTTTTTCATGGGCTGTTGATCCCAACCCATATGGAAGCGACCATTTTCCCATAATTTTAAACCGCATCAATCCACCCGCTACACTATCCACACAAACACCCCGTTGGAAGTTTGAAGAGGCAAACTGGGGTACTTTTAGTGAGGCCACTCAGCTCGCTTGCACATCATTTGACAATCTGTCTGTCAATCAAATCACCAGTCTGCTTAGTAGTCATATTCTTCATGCTGCATTGATAGCTATCCCCATGACTTCGTCTCACCTACCCCGTCGTCCTAAACCATGGTGGAATGCCGACTGTGAAAAATCGAAAAGAAAGCAAAACAGAGCCTGGGGGATTTTCAGACGTTACCCAACGCAAACTAACCTAATCAAATTTAAACAAATGAAGGCCCGTGCGAGATACATACGCCGCCAGTCTAAACGTAAAAGTTTCCAAGGATATGCATCCTCAATTAACAGCACTGCATTAACAGCAAAGAAGTGTGGGACAAAATTCATAAAGTCAATGGGAACTACCGTGCTTTTTCAGTACCGCTTCTTTCTGCAAATGGACTTTGCCCCGAGAGCCTTGAACAGCAGGCAGATCTCCTTGGGGAACACTTTCAACGTGTTTCTAGTTCCGAGCACTCTTCAGCTGCTTTTCTGAAACACAAGACTCGGGCAGAGCGGCAGTCTGTTCGAACATCCGGTGGTGTTCGAGAAGCTTACAACTCGCACCTTACGCTGAGTGAGCTAGAACGGGTGCTGCATGAAGTTAAACCTACGGCTGCCGGACCGGATGGAATTCATTATTACATGCTTACACATCTCCACCCCTCTACACTTGACATAGTCCTGTATTTGTTTAATCGCATTTGGCACGAGAGCAAATTTCCGTCCTCATGGAGAGTGGCCACTGTTACCCCTTTGCTAAAGCCTGGAAAAGATGCATCATGCGCGACCAGTTATCGCCCAATAGCGCTAACAAGCTGTCTTAGTAAGACTCTGGAGAGAATACTTAACAAACGACTCATGTATTTTTTGGAAAAAGAAAATATCCTAGACAAATACCAGTGTGGGTTTCGTTTGTCACGGTCTACAATGGATCATTTAGTTCGTCTGGAGACTACTATTCGTGAGGCTTTTGTAAATAAGCAGCACTGCCTGTCTGTTTTCTTCGACTTGGAAAAGGCGTACGACACGGCATGGCGTCATGGCATCCTGCAAGACCTGTATTGTTTTGGCATTCGTGGTAGAATGCTAGCATTCATCAAGAGCTATCTGGGGATGCGAACCTTTCGTGTTAAATTGGGCACTACTTACTCTAGAGAGTTCTGCCAGGAAAATGGCGTTCCTCAGGGAGGCGTTTTGAGTGTGACCCTTTTTATAGTTAAATTGAACTCAATAGCTCGGGCCATTCCACCATCTGTACAGTATTCACTCTATGTTGACGACCTTCAGATATCCGTCTCATCCTGCAACCTTGCTTTGTGCGAACGTAGGGTTCAACTAGCAATTAACAATTTGCTCAAGTGGGCAGACCAGAACGGCTTCAGCTTTTCACCTGAAAAAACAGTGTCTGTTTGTTTTTCTCGCCTACGGGGAACTTCAGTGAAGCCCTCGTTGACCATGCGATCCGCTTCAATTCCAACGAAACCTAAACATAAATTCCTAGGGCTTATTTTTGACAATAAATTGACTTTTCTTTCGCATATCAGATATCTCAAAGTAAAATGCCAAAAAGCACTAGGGATCCTTAAGGTGCTTTCCCACACCTCCTGGGGCTCTGATCGCCTCTGCCTCCTCCGAATTTACAGATCGGTGATTCGCTCGCGCCTTGATTATGGTTGTAGTGTGTATGGATCGGCAAGGCCTTCAGCCCTACGAATGCTTGACCCTATTCATCACCAGGGACTGCGGCTGTCTACAGGTGCATTTCGCACGTCGCCTATCCCCAGCCTTTACGCAGAGTCAAATGAATGGTCTCTGGAGAAGCGAAGGTTTGCTTTAGGGTTTATGTATTCGCTTAGAATTCGTTCGGTTCCCTTGCACCCTTCCCGAGAAGCTGTTGAAGAAATGAGATATAAACATACTTTTGACAACAAGCCCACTGTAATACCACCTTTTAGTATGAGAAATGCATCCAAAGCAGATTCAATTGGTCTGAGTAGTACAATGCCCGTCACTCCTGTTCCACAAACTGTAGCTCCGTGGGACCACTGCCTCATTTCCTGTTACCTTTCACTAACAAAAATTAAAAAGGAAGAAACTCCATCAGAATACATAAAACAGAAATTTTTTGAGCTTCAGAGTAGATATTCTGGACACAACTCATACTACACGGATGGTACTAAGACAGAATCGTTCGTTGGATGTGCTATGGTCGGCCCCTCTGTTCGCTGTGTAAAACGGATTGCGTGTACAGCCACTATTTTAAGAGCAGAGTTATGCGGTCTCCGTCTTGCAGTTGATCATATTGTAAAAACAAAGAGCAAGCAGTCAGTCGTGTACACTGATTCACTGAGTTCTCTGCGCTCACTCTTATCATTAAAGACTTCGAAAAACCCAATAATCATGGAGTTACAGAATAAAATTGTTGATGCTTCAAAAAGGAATATTAAAATAATTTTATGTTGGGTTCCTAGCCATGTTGGTATACCCGGAAATGAAGAAGCGGACCTTGCTGCAAGTTCTGCTGGTGAGCAAGAAGTGGACCTGCATGACATTCCATACAAAGACTATAGCACACTTTTAAAGCATTGTATTAGAAGGAAGTGGCAACAAGAATGGGATGAAGAAGTTAATAACAAGCTCCATTCTGTAAAACCATTGATCAGTGAGTGGGAGAGTGCTCGACACCGTGAACGTTTCTATGAGGTTGTCTTGTGTCGACTGAGGATAGGTCATACACACCTTACTCATGGCCACCTCCTGCGCGGGGAAGAGGCCCCAGAGTGTGAGAACTGTTTTAGTCCTCTAACAGTTTTACACATTTTACTTGAATGCCCAGCGTATGACCAAGAACGTCGAAAACATTTTTCTCAATTATATAACGAGCATACGCCTTTACACCTTAGTATTCTACTTGGCAACGACCCACTTGTACCACACAGTTGTGTTTTTAACTTTTTGAGAGCTATCGATCTTTTACACCGGCTATAATTTTATATTCAACTTCATCTCCATCACTATTTACAAGTCATATACATAGTTTTAATCCACCACAGCTACTAAAGCTCTTTCTCCTCTGAAACCTCTGCAATAGTCTGTATCTGGCGCATCATAGCCTAAGATGCTTTTGCGCCATAAAGCCCTAATCAATCAATCAATCGATTACTAAGGGACCTTAGAAAACCTAAACGACTACCGTAAAGAAAAAATTTGAATGAGTTTGAGGAACAATTACACAAGACTTTTTCTATGAAAAAAACTGCCGCTTGTGCGAAAATATCCAAAAAACCGGTGTTTTCTGGTTTTAACCGCTTTTTCTTTTCGACACTGGTGGATGTTTATCGGTATTTTTCAGTGAAAACCGAAAAGTATACAGCCTAGTTACGAGCCATGTGACACAGCAACCGATACTGCAGGTAGCAGACGCTGCAGACTCTTGCTTCGTGGTGCGATAAACACGCAGGAACTCGCTACAAACTCAAAATGTGACTCATACAGATACCACAGATTGTGCGGTTGATGGGATTTTTGCTGCATGATGTTCAATGGGAAGCAGAGGGGGGCGGGTGATGTTTCGGAATATTCATCCTGTGGGTATCCAGCTCGAAAAACAAAATAAGGGGTTGACGACGACGCTCGTACAAGTTTTTACGATAGATTTTAGAAAAAGAGAAGTCTCAAGTTTTTTTGCAGTGCCTCATTGACATGTCGTGCGTGGGTGTTGCACCTGCATCACCGTGCCATGGGAGCGAAGGCAGTTTTGGCTTTGATTTGTGGATGGCGGTGAGTGAGACGGTGCTGCATTTCCTCACTTTCTCCGCCTGCACTTCAGAACTGGGAGACTCGGCAGGAAGAGGACAAGGACACGATTGAACGAATCCTGGTCCTCATCCGGAACATTGTCCACGTGCCTGCCAACCTGTCGGAGGAGAAGCGGACCGACGACGACGTCAGCATCCACGACCAGGTGTTGTGGTACGTGCACCTCTGCTCCCTGCCGCCCTCTGAGGTGTGGATTCTGTCCACTACATGATGCGACTTTCTCTTCATAATTGGTGAATCGTTAGACGAGAAAAAGGTGGATATGCCTAGTTGGTTTGGCTAAGTCGAAGTGCTACTGATCTGTAGAGGCTAGTCTCGAATTTGAGAGCAAAGGTGACACATATAACAACAAGCAGAGTACTTAGTACCATTTTCTTCGGACTATACAGTAGAACCTCGTTATTTTGAGGTCAGTCGGACGGCAAAAAATGTGCGAATTAAGTGAATTATAAAAAAAAGAAACAAAAGAAAACGACAAAAAAATTTGCGCAAAGCCTTGAATGTTGAAGGAAACATTTTATTCCAAACAAGTATTCAAAACGAAAGAGAGCATCACCCAAAGAAGGCACAATATGGGACTGCCGCATTCTGTAATTAGCAGCGCCGACCGTCATATTTCCAAGAAGGCTAACAAGGCGCAACATCTCAGAATCACTACCGTTACATTCCACAAAGCCGCGGACGACATTCAGTGCCTGTATAACTTTCCCTAGAGGGGGGCCCGAGGCAGCTCATTGTTGTCATCAACAGTGAGCTTTGGCGCCAAACAACCAGACCGTCTGAAAAAAAAAAAAAAAAAAAAAAAGAGTTAGAAGGCATCTAAGCAGTTTTTATGAGTTGTGAATGCAAAAGCATGAATGTCCAATGGAACACTGTGGAGTGATCCGCGGAGTTTTGTGGCGCGAGTAATGTCTAAGAGTTGTGGTAGGAGCACCGGCGACGGTGTGGATGCTAGAGGCGGCGCCATGTTGGTCAGCGGCGAGACGAGCAGACGCCTCTGAGCTCGCTAGCGTGTCCGTTTTAACCGGCGCGGAGCCCGTAGTGGCACGGGGTTGCAGCGGTTAGTTTTATCGGCGCGCTGGCGGCACGGACACGCAGCACCATCTGGCGGTGGTCGTTGAAACAGACGCGCGCAGCGGTCAATGGGACTCCTCATCACTGCGCGCCAGCCAATGGGATCAGAGAGACTAGGTGCCATGGGACAGTTAATGCTTTCACATTAAAAAGCAAAAGAGAACCTGCACTTTTCGGCTCGCAAGATGGACCACACACGATGCTACAAAAAAGCACTTTGAGAGTGTGTGCTCTCTCCGTGCCCGACCACATGCTACGTTTTCCGCGCTGCTCCATGCCGGATTGGTTGTGCTGGCTCGTGTCATTTGCTGCGGTCCATCCTAACGGCGTAGAGGAGCAGGCGCATATTTGCACACATTCAACTTTGCAGCAAAGGGCCCCTTGTTTTGCCATACGTTGGTGGTTTTTCTGATGTTAAACCCATGTTTTCTGTATTTACTGTAGGGTGTGGGGTTCTCCGACCCCCGGAAAACATACCCAAGAACCAAACGCTCAAAAAATGTCCTTGTACAAATACAAAAGAAAAAAAAAAAAAACACGAAAAAAGGTGCGTGGTTTTGAAGCACGAAGAAGCCTCGCAGACAGTGGCACCAGTGTGGTCTTTCGTCGCGAGAGATTGTGGAAGCCCGAGGCTGCACAACGTGGTTGGTTGCACCCAGACGCGGGTGTGCGAACGAGCCTTTAGACATTTCGAGCCAGTTGCGAAAACTGGACTCTCGAATGCCTTTCTGGTCTGTGGTCTATCTTCCAGGGCCATGCACTTGGCTCACCTCGAGGACCTGCTCCTTTACATCAGCAGCAGCGAAGACGAAACCGACTACTGTTTTCACTCCCTGGAGATCCTCTCTCTGATGCTCAGAGAACAGGTGAGAAAGGCTCTCATCTCTTTCTTTCTCTATCACATGGAGTGGCCATCGATTGCTACGACGGTCTCTGCACGTTGCCACGTGGGGCGTAAACACCCAACGCGAGGTTGGACTGGCTACTGTTTCGTTTGCCAGAGGTGGGAACGAGCTTTTTCCAATTCCTTTCGTGGTCGGATGGCACCTTGTGCTGACTTATGTTCCGGTCTTATGCGAGGACTTAGTACAGCGACCTTGCAAGTGGAAACAACCCAAGCACATCCCATTTCAGCTGCATTTGTGGGTTCTTGACTCATACCTTATAATATCCCAACAGTTAATCCCTCTTTATCTTGTGCCCAAGAATCGGTTGCTGAAAGGACACAGTTTTTACACTGTTCTTTTTAAGAGAAGAGTGAGCATGCTCCATTTTTTGTTTTTTGTACCATCTGTTTTTAAGTTACGGTTAAAGGGAATATTATGGTATGTGGGTGAGGTGATGTTATTTGAATTACTTCTCATTAGCTCTATCATTCTCTCATGCCTGTTTTCATTTCGTAAAAGTTAACGTGCATCACTCCGAGCTGAATGAAGTCTGTTTCAATGTGCAGTTATATTGCTCGAGGGGCTGCCCAGCAGCGTCTTCTTTTTCTACATTCTTGCAGTGTGAGTCGAGAAGAATCAGTCGCACACACTGTAAGGAGCAAACTGGGGGCTTTTAGCTTGTATGTTTATGCATCAGTACTACATGGCTCACACATCCTGAGATTTTGTTCGTCATCTGAAATAATATTTTATAGAAGGTGGATAATTTTGGGTCCTGAAGAGACCTTTGGGAGCATCTTGGAAAAAAAACTAGGCAGTTGGTGGAAAATTGGGGGATTCTTCGGAGAAATTCTGAGGGTACTACTGTAGAGAAATTTCGGTTGTACTTTGGGAAAATAAAGGGGCTACTTTTGGAGAAACCCCGGGATCCTATGAACCTAATTTGAAAGTGCATGTTTAAATGCATGCATGTGCACATGCACATTCTTCTTTTTGGAAGGAACCAGAAAACATTGTGAAATGATAGACTGCCCACTGGAGGGTTTTGCACTAGATTGCTTATGGGGTTTTCTCTTGCCCGGCTTCTTGCAGTCCCCACAAGTTTTAGCCAGCGCCGCGCAAGCCCGCAGCACCAGCGAGAAGGAGCAAGATGTGAAGTGGGTGTAGAAATTGGTTTCTATCTTTTTTGGCATAGGTTATCTCGCCTCTGTCTCACGTGATTTCTCTACTTTCCAGAGCCCTTCTCAGAGCTCGGGAATTGGAACTCAGCAGGAAGAAAGCACAGATGCAGTCAAAGCCAAGCAGGTAATTGCTTATAACCTCGCACAATCGTCTGCACTGCTTGTTATTGAAGCGCCTGCAAGAATGTCTTGTGCAATGTGTGCTGTAGGTAGTGATAACAAGGCTGGAAAAAAGCAAAAAATATTGGGGAAAGAAGCTTTTTCTTGTTTCTTTTCTTGACATATAAAGTGGAAGAAAAACAAAGAAAACTGAGACCCAATTTCTTTCACTTCCTAACAAGTAGGGGTGTGCGAATACCGAATAGTAGTTATCAAATCGAATACCGAATCGGGTTAAGAAAAAAAAAAGGTTGAATATCGAATCAAATATTCAATAGTGATTTTATTTGTAGAAATTTTTCAAAGTGGGCTGTGAATGAGATTATTATATGCGCAGAGTATGCACCTGGTGAAGAATATGCATCTCGTACAAAACAGAAGCTCAAATGTACAGAAGGTCTGGAGAAAAAAAAAAAAACAGATGTTGTGAGCGTTGGGCACTAAAGATCCAATTTCATGGCGCAAACATAATCTATCTATCCTAAGTGTCACAAAAAACCCAAAGTTACAGCCACGCCTGCCTTTTTTTCTCGTTAAAAGCACAACCTAACACCGCGACATGTTCTTTCTTTTTTTCTTTGTGTATCTCAGAAAAGGCGCATTTTGCGATATTTGGTCTCAATTTTAAGGGGGGACACTACCTGGGAATGTCAACTTTTGAACCGTTCACTCAATCGGCGTGATATTTGCTGGTGGTGTTTGTAGCCATATAGAAGGTGGGCATGCAATGTTTCAACCCTGTGAACCAATTTTATAAGGTACTGTACCCCCAAAACGAAGTAAAGCATAGCTTTGCATGGAATCTGCTCAATGGATCTATCATTGAGAAATGGTGTTGATAACCACATATCTTTCTTGTGAAATGCATACTGGAATGCCTGTTTCCAGTTACTGTGGAAAGAAATTTCAGAAATTATGCATTTTTCAAGCAAAACACAATTTATATAAAAAAAAAAAGTAAAGGAACATGAAAATGCAAAATCTAAGTTCCATAGTAACGGGCTCCATAAACTTTCGGCATATAAGCCGCCAATATTAAGTCTCAATAGTTTCATACTGAAACAATAGTTTTATCAAGGTGCGATTTGCTGCCAAAAAGCTGAACTGAGAAAAACGCGTTCAAAGTGCTCCACCCTTTACCTTTTCTTTAGCATCGGTGGACCGAAAATAATTTATTCAAAAATAACTATGCAGTGTAAACTATTGAAACTTTCTGGGAATACTCTCTAGATGTTGGCAGAGGTCGGCATTTTAGGTCGCCCTCACCCTCAAAGCCACACTGACCTAAGCCCCTCACTCTCCCTCACCCTCACAACCACACTCACCTTCAGCCCCTCACTCACCATCACTGAACCTCACGGCTCTCACGCCCCTCACGCACTCATGGCCCTCACACACTCACGGCCCTCACGCCACTCATGGCCTTCACGCACTCATGGCCCTCACGCCACTCACCGCCCCTCACTCACTCAAGGCCCTCACGCACTCACCACCCTCACGGCCCTCACCTACTCATAGCCCTCACGCACTAATGGCCCTCACGCCACTCAGGCCCGCTTCAGATGGAACAATTTCGCCCAGAAACTTGACGTCGCAACACCAGCAACACGGGCCGCCCGCTTTCAGACGCAGCAACTAGAGTCACTAAATAAGCTACGGTTTATTTTGTGACACTAGCAGCAACCATCTGCTGCAATTTGCCATCATCATCATGAAATTTTATTTTTCTTACAATATTTAGACACAATTACCGCTATAAACATGTTTTTAAGCTTTTAAATCTCGTTGACCATACTAAGGCATATTTCTCAAACAGTTTGTTCCCAAAATTGATCAATTTCAAACCAGAACCAAGTCATCGGCACGAGGTATCACTTGAAAATATCGCGTCTCTGATTGGATGCAGCCGCTTCAAATGTCTTCGAATTGCTCCGAGTTGCTCCCTTGTTTCGAGCTGGACCCGATGTCAGCAATTAGTGTCGATCTAGGGAAAGCTAGGGAACAACCCGCCAGCAACACCAAAATTACGGAGAAAGTTGCTCCATCTGAAGGGGGCCTCATGTCCCTTACACTCCTCACGCCCCTCATGCACTCATGCCACTCATCGCCTTCACGCCCCTCACGCACTCATGGCCCTCACACCCCTCACGCACTCACCGCCCTCATACCCCTCACGCACTCATGGCCCTCACGCCACTCACCGCCCTCACGCCCCTCACGCACTCATGGCCCTCACGCAGTCAAGCCCTCACGGCCATCACAGCCCTCACGGCCATCACTCACCCTCACACTCATGAATTTTCCTGGTTCGGAAATTCACTCACCCTCACCTCACCTGTGAAGATGAGGGTGAGTGAGGGCCCTCATGAGTGAGGTTTGCCGAGGTATGGATGTTGGCGGATGTAAACATGGTATTTTTCAAAACCAAAATTTTTTGCAGAAATTGTTTTTTATGGGTAGTGTGTCCCCCCTTAAGGAAGAAAAAGGGCACCCGGGATTTTATTTTATATAAATAAACAGGTGGCTGTTAAATCTGAGTAAACAGGCCTCAGCAATATAATCTGAAGTAAGAAACAAAACATGTGGTTAGGTGGCGTAAATCACCGTTGAACTGCTGCTATGCATCCATTTTTCCGTCCATCTATCCTGTTGTAGATAACCTAGATTTAAAAGACGGAGCAAGCGAAACTGAAACCACGGAGACTGCTCCTGCGCAGATTGGTCGTAAGTGCGCACGTGTTGTGTTGTCGCGTGGAAAGAAGGCGAGCAAACGGAAGAGCGTCGACGCCTGCCCGATCAACGCTTTCGTCTTTTCGTCACCTTCTTGCAGTTCGTAATTCAAGCGCGGCTATCGAACGGTTGGAAACCCTCTCAAATCTAGGCTGACTATTTTTTCATTCCGTTTCATTCCGAATCGGAATTTGTGGCTAGTTTCATTGGCGTGGTTAAGATGGTTTTTTTGCAGATCTTGCAGTCGTTGATTTCTGTGAGTGTGGCAAAGTGTGTTCTACATCGGTGCTTCAGTTTGAAACAAGGGGCTTTACTCGTGAAGAGAATTAGGTAGGCATGGTGTGGAATTCTGGCCTCTCAATAATTCCTCTCTAGAAGCGGTGCAAACAGGATGTTTCGGTTGTGATTCAATGGTAGCTTTGTCAACATCATGGCGCTAATATCGGGAGAAAAAAATGGCTCTTTTGCCAACTCTGTGCCGACTGTGCGTCTTTGGCCGAATACATTGAATGTTCAAGTGACCGAATACTACGGATTCGATTTGCGGGGAATCAAATTATTGGGGAACTTGCTATTCGATTCAAATTCGTATATTCAAGTATTTGCACACCCCTACCAATAAGCCCAGCCACAAGCTGGACTCGTGTTTCAGTCTCGAAGCTTGTTTTGTGCCTCCGCTGGCGGATGACAGTGATTTCCGATTCCTGTTTACTTTGCTATAACCGGTCTAGACAGTACCAAAAAAACTTCCCCGAAACTCTTGCTGTCGTTGATCTATGTCGGTATTTTTCAAAAGATTGCATTACTCTCGCTGAGAAAAGTTTTCATATGTTTCCAAATGTAAAATTTTTTTTTTTTAGATGTTTTCTTTTATATTGTTTATATATATATAGCTGTATGCCTGTCGGTTACCTGACCATCTCAAATATCTACATTTTGCTACACACTCAGTCTGAACATGACATTGGTGCTTTGTCACAATTCATTCACATGTTAATGATGAACTCCCAACTTTGTGACTTATGTTGGAGCTTTATGTGAAACTACCACACTGGTCCTTTTAGCGATAAAGGACCAGTGTGGCAATGAAAAGCGCAGGTACTTGGTTCATGGCAATGAAAAGCGCAGGTATATTTGAATCTTGGTTTTGACATCATTTTCATTTGCCGATTTCACAATAAGTACTTTGAATTTTGCGATACTAAATAGCATACCGGAAGGAGTAATAGATGGCTATTTTGATAATAGAGTTAGGTGGGGTTGTTAAAAAAAATCGCCGAAGTACTCCTTTAACAAAAAAAAAAAGGCACTAACTTTGGGTTTTTTGTGATGCTTAAGTTAGATAGATTAGTATGTTTGCGCCATAAAATTGGATCTCTAGTGCCCAATAACCATCAGCAGGTGTTTCTCTTTTTTTTTTCTCCAGACCCGCTGTACATTTGAGCTTTTGTTCCGCAAAGATACAGCAGTGTAAACTACTGAAAATTTCTGGGAATTGTCTCTAGATTGGTAGATGTAAATATGTAATTTTTTTAAATCAATGCTTTTTGCAGAATTTTTTTTTCCTGGGTAGTGTCCCCCCTTAAACATTGCAAAACCGCAGTCTCGACGTTCCACGGAAAGAAGCAAGTTTGCGGCGACCTTACTTCGGCAAAGACAAACTTTGGCCTTACACTCCGCAGTTACATTCTAGAATATGGGGCGTTCGCTTACCTCGCGATCCCTGAATGAGTTACTGCTTAAATTATCTTTCAGCTTTTTTTTCTTTTTTTTTTTGTTGGTACATTTTTTATGTAAGCAAGACAAACTTTTATTTAGTTATCTCCATTGTTCCTTTTTTTCATGGAAACACTACGACTTGCTCACAGAGGAAATGCGTAAACTAAGGGAAGTGTCTTTCTTGCCTTCTTTTTACTTTGTCATGGACGTCCTCCAACATTAAGTTCTGCAGAGTCAGCATTGGGGTATTTGAAGGGGTGGGTGATGACTCGGGATGTTATGGTAATCTTTTTGCAAAGATTCAGCCATTTTAGTATTTGATGCAATTGCTGGAACAGTAAAATGCCATATTTTATTCTTGAAATGTAAAAGGGCTAGCAAATAAGAGACTGAGATATTTAAAATAGAAAACCTCGAGCGAAAAAATAAGTTATAGTTTAGAAACAAAGGTATCGTCAACGTTCTCTTGGCGGTAAGATGCGTTCTAGAGGGTCGTTCAAACAAACTAATTACGATAGGAATCCAGTGTCGCTAGCAGATGCAGCATACAAAAAGAATAGTGACTCGGCTTTTTTGAGTTTGTTTATACTTTGTTGAGCCGAAAGCTGATGGTGCGGTGGGAGCTATATGTTGCCACCGCTTTCCCTTAATCGTCTGACTCCGCCGTCTGCGCGTCGGTACGGGCGGGAGCGTAATCCCGTGGGGAAAGATAGACGTACGGCTGGTCCGACGAGCACGTAGCTTCCCCCGCTATGTCGGCTTAGGATTGAAAAGTGTATACAGTGCTCTTCAAGTCCGAGGGTAGCGAAGGGGTAGCTTCAAGGAGGGGGCTGCGGGGAAGAAATAAAGTGCGGCTTCTGCATCTCTGATATTTTTGTAATCTTCTCCAATCCTTTCTGCTTATTGGTCGGCCTTTAAGGGCTGGCATGCCGGAGAAAAGTGTGGCGTGGCACCACGAGAAACTGTCGCATGCCACAGTCACACTGATGACGACTTACACGACGCCATCAGTGTGACTGGTCGTGGGACCTGACATCACGTGATGTTACGTGGGGTCGCAGGACATCACGGTGCCACATTGCGGTGTCGCATGACATTACCCGACGGTGTATTAAATAATGCCAAGGTGTCTCGCATTGTCACGGTCATGTGACGCCGCGACATGATGTCACATTACACATTGTATCATATGACACGATGTAGCGACATTACGTCGTATGAGACAGTGCAATGTCGTGCCATGTGACACCATGTGGTGGGCGATACATCGGCCGTCAAATTTTCTGTTAACTATGAGTCGAGGAAAACTCGTGAATAAACACCCGGTGCTCTCCTGACCATATGCGTAGGGTAGAGACAGGTTTATTTTTTCCGGATTGCAGGCACCCGCGCTTTGGCGGGACGTTCACGGTGAAGAACATGAAGTCGATCAGCGACAACGCCCTGATAGTGCGCGACCGGGTGCGGCTGTCCCAAGTGGACTTCGACCGGGACAAGAACTTCCGGGCCAAGCCCAAGAACAAGCGGCCCCCGTTGGAAGAGACCACATCCACCCGGAGGTCCACCCTCAACATCCGGCTCTTCCTCAAGGGCCTCTGCGTCGACTTCCTGAAGTGGTCGTACAACCCCATGATGCGCACCGTCAAGGTGGGGAACCCCGGCAAAAGTGTTGCGATCTTGTCCAATCAACTCGGAGACCAAATTGCCATAAACAAGTCTTTTACATCTAGCGCCGAAGTGCCACTTTGCTTGGAATTGTGCCACATCTGCAACAAGATTAACTTGAACGAAGCAAAAAAATATAAATTTTTTATTATTAGTTGATTCTAATATTCAGAAATGTAGAAAACAAATATGGTACAAAAAATTTGGAGGATTCTTAAGGTTAGCCTTTAAGAGTGGAACACAATAGCTAAACACATAAAATCCCGCTCATTCTTAAGCCGTGCAAGCATCTCTGAGTGGCTTAGTCAGTAGCGTGTCTGACTTGCAATCGAAGGGTCGTGGGTTCGAATCCAGCCTGAAATTCTTCAAACTTTCCTTTAAGGCAAAAGAGTTACATTATAAAGTGAAATCATTTGAGACATGCGGCACCCTTTAATTCGCATTACATCTTATGTTTTTTAATCACATTACCCTATCGACCGATCAGGATTTTCCTGTCAGAATGGCACCAATGCCGTCTCCACTGCAACACGAGCTCCTTAACGCCATCGCATTAATTTGCATTTTACAGCGTCTACCCTGCCCACCGTATAGTTTTGTTTAATTTTATGTCGGAGCACAGTCAAAGGCTCAAACACTTACTTTTAAGAAGGCACACTAAAATCGTGAGTCTAGAATTTGCTGCGCTTGGTTGGTTTAGCCGATGAAACTGCATGCCCAGGTATATGTTGAATGCCATGATGGCTTTTGACGCTGTTTGATTTGTTCTGTTGGCTCGTGGCATTGCCTGTGCTTTCACTTAAAGGAGCTGCGCAACAATTTTAGTGCTTTGCTTAAATTATTTGGGAGCTGGTGTTTTTACCTTTTTGAAGTAAAGAACAAAAAAAAAAGATTTGCCTGCATGTCCTAGTTTTTATATTAAAAATTGACAAAGATTGAGGTTTTCAGCACCTCTCAACTCCTCCTCCATCTTCCGAGTCACGTGAGCTGTGATGGGAAAGGCGCATGCACGGGGTTCCGGTGAAGCTCTCTCTCTAGAGCCATCAGTGAGCAGCGAGAACTCACCCTCTCGCGACCACGTGACCACGTGCTTGCACAGCGCGATCGACATGGCGAAAGGAAAGTGCCACATTACCCAACGTGCTCGTCCGGGTCCAGCCATCCCTGTTCGGCTCTGCCCCTGTCCCCGTCCGGCTTCTGGTGGCCGTTCGTGGTAGCAGTTAGAGCTGACAGTTTTCTTGACCTGGGATAGATGGTGCCACTACAACTCCGCAAAATAGAAGTTTTGTCGGTGATACCAGGTTTTTGACACATTTATATTTATGTCGGAAGGACAGGATTTATAGAAAAATTACCTTTTATCGAGCAGGTATTTGCCAAACTTGCAATCTTTTTACAAGTCTCTCTTTGACGTCACTTTGCACGGTTCTCATGGTCACCACTGGCACCTGCAGGTCGGGAGGTATTTTAATTTTTGCCTCCCGATTACGCGGCAGAAACGTAACATTTCGAAGCAAGGAGATGTGTTTTCTGTCCTTTGTGACAAGATGAACAGTGTCAAAAGTAGAGGACGCAAATCCTTTCAACGTTGAAAGCATTGCACAGCTCCTTTAAGATGAAACGAAGTGTAGATATTGCCCGTCATCGTCTGACTTTCCAGACAATGTCGGTAATCTCGGGAGCTAAGAGTCGTGAGAGAAATGTGCAATATAGTGGATTAGCGTCTACTTTAACAAGACAGAATCAAGGTGTTTTACTCCCAATGATATCACATGCCCGGGCTACTTTGTACCGTGGCACTTGCACCGCTTGCAGCGGCTGACTTGGGGGAGCGCATGGGTTAGCGTGAGTGGCTCGGAAATTATGCTGAGCACTACTATTACAGATATACCTTCTTTGGGCTTGACTGTAGTTCTTGTGCAGCGGTCAATCGAAAGGTCAGCAGACTTTGACTTAACTCTGGAGATAACCCCGTTGAAGCGCAATGCAAAATTTAAAGCACATATGTAGGTTTTCATATTATATGTGGGTGGTTGTTTTTGCAGTTTATGAAATTAGAATCTTGAGTTGCAAGTTCATAAACCTTGCCGCCCCCCCCCCCCCCCCCCCCCCCCCCCCCCCCCCTCAATCGAAAGGGAAACAAACTATTTTTGTTGATTGAGGTTTTGGTGGATATGCTGATAGTTGCATGAATTTGACAGGATATATATTTACAGGCTGATGTAACTACTGAGGGAGAAAGAGAGAGGCTTCATCTCAGTTGAAGTGTTCTGCTATGCTTCATGTTTTAATCATTTTTACATGCCCATTGTAAATTTAACCTACTCTGACCTAAGCCTCATTTCTAAAGAAGGCTCTATGTTCTTTTTGCATCCTATCTACTCTTACTACAAAAGGTAATTAGTAATATGCTTCAGTATCAAAAAGGAACCCTCATTCATATCAAATATGAACTCACTTATCGATGCAATCAGATTTTCACTTTGAAGTGACAGGAGTCAACTAAAACGTAAAAGGTTGTGACCACATATGCAACAAAGCTCTGCCCCAGCAGACGCTCTTCTCTTTGATGGGTTGCAAGGAACATTTTGGCCGTGTGTTCTTTGTTCGTTGTAGTGCATCTACCGTGTTTACTCGCATAATGAAAGCACTTTTTTTCCCGAAAAATTGACACATATTTGGGGGGTTGGGCGTTCATTACACGTTGTAAAATTTTTGCATTTACACACTTCGTGCAAATGTCATATTAGGTGTCAATATGACACGGCAAGGTACTGTGGCACATCTCCAGTGACCGAGGCACACCCACGGCTGGTCGGGGTTGCGTCACAATAACCATACTTTATAAATTGCAAACCTTTTTAGGGCGCTTTCAGGGTGCCTTTTACCGAAGGAAAAGCGCCCTACGAAGCTCACTCGGCACAAAAAGCAACACGACCATTCTTAGCCGATATATATTGCTACTATCCAGAAGGCACGCTCAGGTATAATCCGTGACTACGCGTATAAGAACTCGTACGAAGTCCAACCCTTGACCACCGAAGCCCGCTTGCATAAATCAAGTTTCCTTCACGGAGACAAGAACTCTGATCAAGTTTCGTTCATGGAGAGGCTACCAGACACTCTCAGCCTACAACAGAGCGTCCACCTCGCTGTGCCGTTCTGTTGCAGATTAAATAAACGCATTTACCAGGAGTATCTGAAATTAAGCCTAACCACTTTCACGATTTCACTGTCCGAAAGCGGACCATAGACAATGTCTTGTTTGTTGACATTAATGCATCTGATAGGCGAAGGATGTCCGGGGCTCGGCAATTCCTTGACCCAAGCTTCGTCAAGTGTGCGTGACACTCTGTTTCACGGTTGATCACTTCCGTAACTACCGCAACTACACACTTGCGGCCATTATGAGAGCAGCCTGGCTTAGGTTGACTTGGCTTGACTTGGCCTGACCGCTTGGCGGCAAGAGAAAGCTGGCTTGGTGGCTTACTAAATTGGACGCGATTCGAGACTCGCGGATCCGAAAATTGGAGGTGCGTTGATTGAGGGAGGGGAAAAATTGAGGGGTGCGTTTATTATGCGAGTAAATATGGTAGTAGTTGCTAGTGGATTCCCATAAGCTGTAGAAAGGACGGGGCCGCAATTGCCACGACTGGCAGACAATGCCAGAATACGGCACCCCGATGCCACGCTCCGCCGCACCCTCTGTGCGAGCAGTGGACAAACTTCCTCGCTGTGAGTGGGGGATGCAGTGGGTAGACACGAAGAGGGAAACCCTCGTGTCTGTCTGCTATGTCCTCCAGTCGAAGCTTGGTACAGCCGCATAAACGTAGATGCAGTAAACTTGACTCTTTTGAATATCCATGCCCAGAGCTTCCTGCAGCGCGAGCGTGCCCAATCGCACGACGAGAGCTACTACTTCTGGGCGATGCGCTTCTTCATGGAGTTCAACCGGTGCAACGGCTTCGAGGTGGGCCTGGTGAGCGAGACCATCGCCAAGGAGAGCTTCCACTACGTGCAGACGCAGCTCGAGCAGTACTACGAGATGATGGTGACAGACAAGCGCCTCATCCACGTCTGGGCCAAGAGGTGCGTCCAAATAAGAAATTCTTTACTTTTCTTCGTTTGGAGACGTGTCTTGCATCCAGGGGGCCAGTCCACAATCTAAGTTGAGCCTTAGCAAGACACGTGTTACAGTCGTGCCTCGTTGATGAAAACCTCCATTCCCCAAAAACATGTCCATAATGTGGGTCTATAATAGTGAGACAAAAAGGCATGTATTTACCCAATTTGTCCCCAGAAAAGTTTGTCTGTATAGCAGTGTATCTATATTAGAGAGACGTGACTACGATGAATCCTGGTAAAGAGAGTTGCAGAAAAGAATAGTCACTATCGTGTCCCAAGCACGAGCAGTCCAAGCTTCTAGATGCTTCTTTTTCTATTGTCACACCAGAGAAGCATGGCTCAAATAGCATTGTCATCGTAACCCTCCCAACGCTAAAAGAACTTGACTACCAACTTCCTTAGAAGTGGCAGGATCTACATTCACAAAGCAGGCTTAAACGTTATGTTCTCTCTTTGGACGAGCAAAACTTATTTTGCAACTCCCCGATTATTGAGAGAGCGGGCTGTTGCTATGGGGGTGGCGTCTTCGACAAGTTCAGCAGCCAGTTGGAGAGTTCAGCTTCTTTTAACAGATGTGCATTTCAACCACAATGGCATGCAGAGGCAGCGGCAATTGTTCTTGCTTCTGGCCACGCTTGTTTTTCTGACCGCACCCTTTCATTAGGGTTTCGTCGTTGCCGCCAAAAAACCCAATCGGCCCGAATGTCCAACTTTCCCGATGTCCAGATAATCAATCGTCTTGGTCAATGGCTTCAGAGCTGACAGGATTACCATCAATGCATAAGTACCCCATTAGACCCACATAAATGTCCTGCAAAAAGGCTAACATTTGACCGAATCGCCACATAGTCTTGCACACAGCTTATTACGCAGAAGATGTCACTAATTACAGCTACAATTATGCTTAAAGGCCGATGTACACTTCGCACCTTCCACTTTTGCCTGCCTCCTCCTTTCCACTCTCCTCTCCACTTTTTAGCTTGCCCCACCGACCTTGCAGTGTAGGAAAGGAGGCGCTACGAGGATTATCTTCCCTGTAGAAAACCGAGGTTGGTACGTCGGCCTAACTGAATAACGTAGTTCATGACAGTAATCAATTACCGCATCTTAAAAGCAATGCCAAAATTACTCGAAAGTAATCAGTTACATCTCGCATTACGTTTAATTTGGCGTTGTGATCCGATTGCAAAAGTATATTATGTAACATTAACAGAAACATGTGTTATGTAGGCAGAAAATGATAAAATCAAGCTTTATTACATTTTTGTTGATTTGCTGTTCTTAGTAATGAACTTTGTTCCAGAATTTTTTTATTTAACGATTGAAATTTAGATTTTTTGATTATATTCATATTTTACTGAAAATTTTAATAATTATAATTTATTTGTTTTTTTATTAACCTTACTTGAGAATTTCATTTTTTTTCTATGTTTAGCATCAAGGTAAGGTGGTGTAATTGATATTGAATTAGGAATTGCATTTTTTGTTGCTGACCCCCTCTAAAATTTGGGTTCTAATGGCACATCGGCAGCTAAGGCTGTAGCATTGTATTAAAAAGAAAAAAAAACACTTGGCATATATTTTTTCAATTTTGCGTTGTAGAATTGCAATGCAATAGTACATATTTTCTTGGTATATTTTTTTTTGCATCTGCCACCATACCGTGACCGATGGGTTGCTCTGGAGGGGTTCTCAAACTGGGTTCCGGGGAACACAGGGGTTCCACGAGCTGGCCTCATGGGTTCCGCGAACACCCAAATTGCAACCCCCCCCCCTCCCCCGCTGCAGGCTGCACGGCAGGACCATGCAAAGCGCCTTCATCTCACTTTGTATTGACATTGCGATTGATATGGTGGGGATATAAGGGAAGCAACACAAGCAAAATTGCCTACAATTGTGCATCTGTTGCTTCTCGGTCGGAAAATATGGAAGGGGGGGGGGGAGGGGTTTCGCGGCAGTTTTTGAGGCTTCCTGGGGTTCCATGAGGCCAAAAAGTTTGAGAACCCCTGCTCTGGACCATAAGAGAAGTAAAGCATTATCATTCTTATGCTGACATCCGGTAACAGATATTTCGTGCTGTTTTCCAGGCTTCACATTGCACTGAAAGCTTACCACGAGCTGCTCAGGACGCTCGCTGCCATGGACGGCTGTCCCGACGAGCAGGTCAAAGAAGCAGCCAGGGCCCTCAAAGGTCTGTCGTCCAACTGCAAGCCTGGTTCCTCGAGGAATTTTTTCGGATTCTAATTTTAACTTCAAGATAGTCGTGAGCGTCACAGCTGATAGATGGCGGCATCAGGTTGGCAAGACGTCAGAGCAGTAACCGGGTGTATCTCAAAACGTCCCATTCGCGTTTGAACCTTGCGCATTTCGTCCCATTCTCATTTGGTCCTTCTCGTTTGAACCTTCTCATAAGATCCGAATCGTGTTTTTCGCAAGTGGGCCCATTCTCATTTTGCCCGTTATTTGAAAACGTCCCATTCGCATTTTGGCCGTGCGCACTTCGTCCCATTCTGATTTGGTCCTTTTCGTTCGAACCTTCTCATAAAATCCGAATCAGGTTTTTCTCAAGTGGGCCCAGTCTCATTTTGCCCGTTATCTGAAAACGGACCATTCGCATTTGGACGTTGCGCATTTCGTCCTATTCTCACTTGGTCCGCCTCGGTGGAACATTCTCATTAAATCCGAATCGTTTTTTTTTTTTTCTTTTGCAAAGGGCTTATATTGCCTGTTCGCGCAACGACCGAATGGGACTAGCTCTACAGGGTTCTGCCGTCATTATGCCTTCCCGGCTTTGTACGTGAGTCTTACCTTGCTTGGGCACCCAACATACCATCAGATATAGAGTCGAAGTATAGCTACCCCCACCCCTTGGCTTGGTCGAATCCATTTTTCTGCATTCGAAGAAAGGCCGGGATACTATCTTTTATCAACGAAAATCTCTCGTAACTTCCCCCCCCCCCCCCACCCCACGCACACACACACACACACACTTCTCACCCCCCAAAAATACAAATACTACAAGATAACGTAATACGTTTGTACAATGATGCCTAGCTGCTTCCCTTTCTCGAAACGAACGCAAAGAAAAGAAAGAACGATGCACATCTAACTTGAAAACTCTGTTTGAACAGAAACAGCATATGCATGTTCAATATAGAAGTGGTTGCATTGTCACAAGTTGAGCCACCTCAAACAAGATGACATTTCGGAATGTGATCTGTCTGCGATAAGTAGTTGGTCAGTTGTTTTGTCAGACACTATCTTTTCTTGGGGTGTAGGACCGTTCGTCGAATGACAATTCATCGCACGACAGCTGGTAGCAGGGCTATTCGTCACATAGGGCAATTCGTCATAGGGTGGTTGGTCACTATGACAATTCGTGAAACATTTATTTTTGATAATTTTGTTATGGGTTTAGGTGAGTGCAATTACTAGTGACCCTTTTCCTTTCTTTTCTTATTTTTTCCCGCACCTATGAAATTAGTTTTTGTGCTTCCAAGGTTAACTAAGCTGTTTATCAACTTAGAACCAAACAGGAGACTAATCTTTCTAAACAGGATACTACACACAAGCTGAATAACAAAGCTACCGAACACCTTAAAATAGGTCAATGCTTATAATACCTTCGGCGACGCTTTTCGTTCGACAAAGCGCTATTTCAAAACTCGCGTTTTTCGACAAGTTGTCCTAGTGACGAATCGCCCTATGACGAATTGCCCTTTGCGACGAATGGCCCTGCGACGAGTTGCCCTATAGGGCTGTGCGGCTGAAGTTTCGCCGCGCGTACGCAGCGCCACTCCTCCCCCTGGCGAGGCGCGCCGATACTTGTTAGAAGTACGAGGAGCAGACGACGCGGGAGGCTGGTGCGCTTGTCGTGCTGACCTCGCGACTCGTAAAGTAATGTACCAAATGCAAAAGGTACCCAAATGTCACAGCATCATATGAAACAGATAGGTATCCGCCTCCCGAAAAGTTTTGTTTGGTTCCTGGGAGGTTATTTAAGAAAGATTGCCAGAAGCATGAATCGCCAGCTGTGCGGAGGACAGGTTTAATTATTGTTTCTCTATCTTGTCGCGTGATTCAGTAATGCAGCTACGCTTGCTTGTCACATTAATAGGGACTTTTTGTAGGTCACACGCGAGAGCATGCAGAGGTTTTGCGTTGCTTGGGGGCGGTACGAGCTGGCGCCTGTGGGGCCCGCAATCCGACACTGACGTTCTACGATAAGTCCCTAATGTAATAGCTACGATGGTTCCCCATGGCTGTCTACAAACAAAACTCAAATATGCAGTTACCATTTTTTTTTATCAAGGACTTTAAATTTGAGAACCAATCTCACTTTGCTTACCCGCCCATTTTGTTCCCCGATGTTAACAACAGAAAGAGGGTAAGCGGCAACAGACCTGGGGAAAAACTAGGCAGATAATCGTAGCCCCTATTGCGTACCGACTTGAACGCATAATTGAAAATAAATCGACGCCTGTATTCAATTTGTTTTTATATATTATTAAAATGATGTAGTTAGCCCACAACAGGTATAATTACTTTCCAAGGGCCTCTCAAAATTAGATTCTAGAACATCCCGGGGTCGACCAATTTGAGCGGGTTGGCAATGTTAGACGTTCCTAATGTAATAGCTAGGACGCTTCCCCATGGATGCCGACAAAATAAACCCGATTATGCAGTTACTATTTCTTAAACAAGTTTACATTTGAAAACCCAGCTCCCCTTGCTTACTAGCCAATTTTCCATTTTGGTAAATTAGTGGAGACTGGGTCGAGAAAACTTGAAACATCAACCGTGGACAGAAAGAAGTATCTCTCATACGCGGTTGATATTTTTAGTTTTTTCGCCCCAGTCTCGGGTAATTCATCCAAATTGTTAATATACACACCGGCTCGCCTGCGCTCTCACAGTAATTTTTATCAATTTTGTTCCCCGATGCTTACAACAGAAGGCGAGGAAGCAGCGAAAGACATGAGGGCCAATGAGGCAGATAATCATAGACCGTATTGAGCACAGACTTGAGCGCATAGTTGAAAAGTGATTTACACTGACGACCGTACTCTAGTTCTTTTTTTATATTATTAAAATGATGTAGTTAACCTCCAACAGGCATAATTACTTCCCAAGTAACTCTAAAAAATCAACCCCGGACATTCCTCGGTCCACCAATAAGAGTGTGTTGGCGATGTTAGATGTATAAATTGAAAGCAAAATAAAGAGGACGAGGACAGGGCACGTCACAAAGGCCAGTAACTATGCATTCATGACTGAAATTTAAAATTAAGTAATCTTTTCTTGCAGAGAGAGAGAGAGAGAAAGTGAAGAAATATTGACGATGCTCTCCTGGCACACAGACTCAAGATATATCAAGTTTAATTGTACCTACACAGCAAACAAAACAAATAGTGACGACAATTTTTTTATTTGTTGTGAACCGGAACAGTCTGCAAAATTATCATTCTGCGGTCACATAAAAATAAGTCAAAAAAGGGACGCTTTACGACGCAAATGCAAGTCGATTGGAGATCCCTCTCTTCATTAATAAAATTAAAAGTGGGTTACTGACGCACGTACATGAATTGCAATTCTACCGCTTTGACGGCAGCGACAGATGCGCGCAAACACAGCAAGGTGTCGCGGCGTATAGTAATATATATATATATATATATATTTTGTTGGACCCGTTCAAGATAAAAGCGGAGGCCTTATTGACGTACCGTTTCGTTTTTTTTATTAGAACTTGACCCAGTGTTGCGATTAGGCTGTGCGTGCCTCGTCATTAACTTCATCCGGATGAATTAGAACAGGCGCGGCATGCTTCCATCAGCCGGTAACTCCGAGAACTGACCTGAGTTCAAGCTGTGTATGAGACAGCGCAGCTGTGCGCGAAAAGACAATTTATACAATATTCCATCCTCATCTTTCTCCAAATAGCCCTGACTTTGAAGAGCTAGCGAAACCATAAAGAAAAAGAGCATTTATCTCGAGGCGGATGTTACAGTACGCTGTCTTGCACTTGCGGGACACACTTCGCAAACGACAAATATTCCTATGCCTGGATCATTTGCTCCACCCCGGAGACCTGACACACAGGCAACCTTTCTTTGCGGAGGTTCGCCTCCCTAAAAAATTATTAGTTTTTTAACGGACAGAAAGCTTCAGCGCGGTGCCCGCCATTGCAACTGGCAGCGCGATGGGACGAGCATACGGCTAAGTAGGGCGAATTTGGGCCACGGCGCGGAGCCACCGGTATCGCTCCAGCGCGCCCCCTGGCCCAGCCGAACGGTCCCATTACGAATTGTCTTTCGACGAACGGCCCGTGCCCCCTTTTCTCGACGACCACGACGCAAGGCTAAAATCATTGTCAGAGAGAGTAGGCCGGTAGCGTGGCACACATACAAAAGAAAATATTAGTGAGTTTATGAATATATATATTCCTCGAAAAAACCCAAATTTGGAGTAGAAAGACTCAAATGTGCTGGGTTGAAGCGAGATATTTATGAGAATGGCTGTTTTGAGAAGGGCGAAGTGAGAAGGGCGAAAAGAGAACGGGCTCAAATGAGGGGGGTTGAAATACGAAGGACGAAACGCGAAAGGGCCAAATGCGACAGGTCAAAGTGAGAAGGCCTTTTTGAGAATGGTTGTTTTGAGAAGGACCAAGTGAGAAGGGCGAAACGAGAACGGGCTCAAATGATAACCACCCGCAGTAACCCTTGTCGCGGGAGTCTTCTGGCCTGGGTACTTGACCCGACAAGATGTCGGAACTTGCGCTCTTTGCTTTATTAAGCCCTTTATATCGTTTGTGAACGCAACATGGTGGCAGCGGCGGGATACGGCAACGAAAAGAAGACGACTTGCAACGATGGCAACCGCTCTGGGTGCTCCGGCTAGGCTTTAACAAGTGTTTATGCCAAAGCGCGGGTTTAGAAATTGAATGGTCGGATTCCTAAACTTTACAACGCCGGCCCAAGGTGCTTCAAGCAAGGGCTTTTCCAACCGGCACGCAACTAAGGATGTTGACCTCTCAGCAACCAGCATCGTTAATCCTGTTCGTCATCGAGCTGCCTGAAAAGCTCTACTTTCAGCACCCACACTATTAGAAACATTGGTACACAACATGGGAGCACTACCGGATCATTTCAGGCATGAAAAAACAATATGGAGAGACCCAAGTCGATGCCTTGG